GTTTTTTTTAATTTTTTTTTTTTTTTTTTTTTTTTTTTTTTTTAATCTGGACGAGACATATCCTGATCTCCTCCATTTCATTTTGAGTTCCTTTTTCATTATTTAATATTTACTTTTGCCTGATGAGTATGCCCAGTAGCTGCCCAACAGCAAGGTGTGAATGAGTGTGCCCCTATGTTCTTTTGGGCATCCAAAAAATAGGAAACTAATCCTGTTGGCTACACACGAACGTACGGGACTGGGACCTATTTTCCTTTGTTTCTTCCAGCTCTTCCATCCAGACATTGGGTTCTGCTTGCATTTTTAACACTTTTGCTTTTCCCTTTTCCACACCTTGTCTCTCCTAAGCTAGGTCAGACTTCCAGCTTTCCCCTGCTCCTTTCCCCTTGCTGCCAGCACTCATGCCCTGGTGGAAGAAGCTGGCTTACAGAGCAGCCTCAACCACAGCTCCCACGGGTGCTGTCCATGCTCTTTCATCCTTGAAGTGGATGCTGCTGAAGCTGTGCCCTCCTACTCTTCCCACAAGCTCTACAACCCTCAAACTGCCCCTCTGGCTTTCCTGCCCTTCCCTGCCAGCTCGCCGCAGCTTTGGGAGCGGGCTGGGGGTGCCTGCGGGCTGGAAGCAGCACTCTGGCTCCCTGGGTGGAGAGGTGGGAGGGAGAGAGGGAGGGAGGGAGCGGTGCCTCAGTGCAGGTGAGGCAGGCTGCTGGTCCAGGCAGCACTGGCTGGGGCCAACTGCAGCTCACCAGACTTGTTCTTCAGCATTTCCATGCCCCGCAGAACTTGTTCTGGTTTTGCCGGAGACTTTGTTTCTGTGTGCTTCTGACCTAGAAATCTCACTCTCCATAGAGCTGGGGTGTAGCATCACTGAATAAAATGAGAGAGTCACCCTGAGCCTCTCCGGTGATCAGTGTCATGGTATTCTTTCCTGCTTACAGAATAACGTATGTGCCACGATCTTCTTGTTGCAGACCTGCAGTTTCAGCAAGGATCCCACATGGGGCCAGGCTTTCACCTTCTTTGTCCACAGTGCTCATTCCCAGTCGCTCCATGTTGAGGTGAGAGAAAAGCCTTTCCTTTGAAGACTGAGTGCACATCTGTAGGAAGAAATCTCCTCTGTGGTGGATGGGGTCTCTAGTGCTGGTTGTTTCTGTGTGCTTGTACTAGGGTCCTCCTACTTAAAAGGTAGAAGAAGAAGCACCTGTTGTTGCACAGGCAGTTCTCTGTTAGGCCATGCTGGTATGTACCTTTGCTCTAGGATCAACTATCACATAGTATCTTAGTTCAAAACGTGGGACATTTCTGTCTCAAAGTGCAAAGGAGGTTTTGTGCAGGTCTGTGGAGTAAAGCCATGAATATTTTTCTGTGAGAAATCTCAGCCTTCATAATTATCAACCAAAGTCCTATCTCTTCACTTTGGTATTTTGGCTCATTATGAAATCCTGCATCTCACTAGCATACAGTGCAGTCACAGCCAGCTCTATGGCTCTTCACTTGGCTACAGAAGTAGGTTTGAACTTAGAAGCTTTATTGAGGTTAAATAGGCTAAACCATCTATTACCTAAAGAGCTTCTAAAGCTTTAGATCAGGTGTCCTGGCTGCCTGGGATCTTTTCCCCAAAGCAAGCAAGGAAATCAAGTAAATCCCAGGGCCTAGTTGTTCAGCTAAGGCCCTTCCTTCCCTGCATAGTTAGAAATGGAATTTTTACTCCAAAGATAGCAATTTGTTACACTCCTGAAATATTGGCATCACCCATGTGGAAGTAACCATACTTGATGGTACATCCTAAAGTAAATAAGGCACTTTTGGTTTCTGTCTGAAATACATCCTGCTTTGCTGTTCCCAATGGTATGTTGTCCAGTTTGCCATCTATAAAGAGTTGTGGTTTGTTTTTTTTTTCCCCCCACAGATTAAAGACAAGGATCGGGATAGTGTCCTGGGAACTTCAGTGGTATGTCTCTCCCACTTACTTAAGGACCCAAACATGACTCTGGATCAGAGATTTCAGCTGGATCATTCCAGTTCAGACAGCTTCATTAAGATGAAACTTGTGTTGAGGGTAAGTTGTTCTTTGCCATAGTCACTCGGCTTCCCAAGCGGAAGCATCCAATTCTAACCAGGCAAAAGAGAAGAAAAGTGGGTGTAGGGTAGAAAGTAGAAGTGTGACAAGGTCTTCAAGTGCAATTAAGAGTGAGTGATGAAGCTGAGAGGTATCCCTAAGGCTTCCTGAAATTTAATGCAGTGTCATTGCTGAAAATCCTCTCATGACAGTGAAGTGTTTGTTGGACTGAGAAAAATCTAAGCTGGGAAATTAAAGCTGCTAAACAGTGAGGGAGTCTGATTCTTGGGAATGGATTTCTCACTGTGCCCTTGATCAGTGTTTACTGTTAAATACATACACAGCCAGACAAAGGAAGAGAACATCACAGCTAATCCCGTAGGCCTCTTTCATCCCTAATGGCAGATTCCTGCTCTTACAGCTTTGTAGTGAGATTTCATCCTAGGTGGTAATGCTGCCATCAACCCCAGTGCTTTGGGTGCAGCTCTTATTTCTCTCCCTCATGATTTTTAGGCCTTGAATGTTGAAGAGCCCGATCCACAAAGAGTCAAGGTTGGTGTCAATGCCTCGAAGCAAGGTCCTGTGCATGTCATGGTGAAGGGTGGAAACCAACAAAAGCTTGCTTCCCCACCAAAACCAGAAGTCTCAAAAGTACCTCCAGTGAGCAAAGACTCTGCAGCATTTGAATCCCTGACGAAAAAGGACAGCAGAGAAGACCTAGACACAAATGACAGTTCAGCAGTGCCAAGTGAAACTGTTGCTGGCCTTAGTGAGACAACGTGTGAGCAAAATCCAGAGCATAACCCATCATCAGCATTGCATCCCAGAGCAGCAGAGGTGCCCACGTTGCCAGTCATACAGGAGATGAGGATCGCGCCCAGTGTTGCTTCGCTGGGTTCTCTGCCTTCTTCCTGCTTTGAATTAAGTAGCAGCAATCTGGACATTCATAAGTAGGTGGTGCTTCCAGCTGACTTGTTCTTCTCTTGGGAAGCTTTAGGTTTTATAGGTTGCTGTCGCATACAGTTGAATTTAGGACTGCTGAGTCATTTGGAGTCTTGGGTCTCAAATCACCTTAGGAGGAACTGGCTCAAGTGTTCTAGTCAACAGCAAAGTAAATTACAGGGTGATTTTCAGATCAGGTGTCAACTAAAAACATTTACTTCTTTGGCTTTTCTAAGAGGTTTTGCATGTGTTGGCTTTCTATTGTTTAAGAGCCTCTCACACAGAATATCCTGGGTCACATAATACTAATGATTTTAGCAACCGGGGATTGGAAGTCTGAATATCCCAGTTTGAGAACATAAACTCTTCAGAAGCATATCTGTTTGCTTAAAGTTTTGGATGCTGTGCTTTATCCAACAAATTTTAAGTCTTGCAACACTGCAAACAAGGTGTTTTGTGGATAGGTGTGCTTGTGTGTGTGAGTCCTTCCCACAGTGCTGAGTGGGAGGCTGCAGGTAGTCTGCTCCGTTGGGGAGGATGGGGAGCCAGATCTGCCTCCTAGGGCACAGAATGGAGCTACTAGAGTCCTTAAGGAGCTGAAGTAGCAAAGAAGGTCCATCTCAATTCAGAGAGCATCAGAACAGTTATACATCAAGCTCAGTTCCAGCTGTTCAGTCTAGTACTTCTGGCCTGGCAAATTCTCTAGCTCTGAACAGGGCCTCATTTATAAACCATTTTTAAAACATTTTAAAGCCATGATTTGGATTTGAAATCTCTCTAATAACATGCAGAATTAAACATAAAAAAGGTCCCATTTGGCATATACAGATGTCCTTGAAGGAGCTGTGTAACATGCTAACCTGTACTTTACTGCTCCACCTACAGTGGGCCAACTAAGCCATTTATATGGTGGAACTGAAGCTGGGTACTGGTACAGAAGGCAGGCTAGACAGCACTGGTACTCATGGGGAGAGTGTTACAGAATCAGAATGGTAGGGGTTGAAAGGGACCCCTGGAGATCATCTCATCCAACCCCTCTGCCAAAGCAGGTTCACCTAGAGCAGGTTGCACAAGGAACACGTCCAAGCGGGCTGTGAAAGTCTCCAGAGAAGGAGACTCCATGACCTCCCTGGGCAGCCTGTTCCAGTGTTGTTCCTGTGGCACCTCTGTGGCCCAGCTGCTCTCTAGATAGCAAGCCTTAGGATGCCAGGAAGAAAACGAGTGCCCTGCAAGTTGGTTTGAGTGAAAACATATCACCAGCTTCTGAAGCTCGTGCCCTCTTTCGTGCTGCTAGGACTGCATGTGTGGTGTGTTCAGTTGCTGTGCTGGGAAGCTTTGACTGTGTGGCTGTCTTTCAGCGGGAGCGAGGTGCCCCTGGGAGAGATCCAGCTGACGGTGCGCTACGCGTCGGTGCGGCAGAGCCTCGTTGTGCTGGTCAACGGCTGCAGGTAGTGCCTGCCACGCCTCGGGAGGGGGAGGAGCGCTCCGAGCCCGGGTTGGGCCTCCAGCAAAGCTGGAGCAGAACCATGTGCAGCGTGAGCTGTCCAGCCAGGACGCCTTAGTGTCGGCTGGCTTCCATCTGTGCAGGCTTGCTAAGCCCAGGCAGGTGGACACCACGGGCTCGGGTCAGTGCCAGCAGCAGGTCTGTGAGAGTGGCCAGCGAGTCGTGCTCACTGCAGTAGAGACACTTTAACATTCACCCACCCAAAACTTCCTTTGAACAGTACTTGACACTGATAGATGTGATGCCTATCATGACTATCCCAGGACAACAAGGATTAACACCTATAACTGAATTTGTAAATGTTAATTTGGGAAGCCCGTTAAGTGGCCACACACTCAGTAGTGACAATTTTGTTCAGCTTCACATCCTTAAAGTACTATTTGCTTATATTCCAACTCCCAAGATAAATGATTTTGGCCCATGAACCCTGATTCTGAGAAACACAAGATATTAAAATGCACAGTGGGAAAACCTGCCTTGTTTGTCAAAACTATTTCTTTTAACAGAAACTTAGTACCCTCTTCCAATCGTGGAGTAGATCCATATGTTCGTATATACCTGCTTCCAGATAGAAGATGGGCAAGCAGGAAGAAGACATCTGTTAAGAAGAAAACTCTGAACCCCCGATATGATGAGAAGTAAGAAAATGTCAGTTATGATTGCTGCTGAAATAGTTACGGTTTCTGTATAATGGAAGGGCTTATGTAAAGTACTGCAGGCTCCACTTGCTTCTTTGCACACAGACATTCCCCTCCCCATGTGCCAGTCCCCGTCATTGCAGAAGCAATCTTTCCATTTGGGTACCTCACAAAGCCCACTTCTGGTCATACTTCCTTGCCTGATGCTTATTCTGACAGCTTTCCAAAAGTCAAAGGCAGAAATACGAAGCCTTTTGAGTCTGGACCACGCTTTGGACAGATGGATGGATCTAGCGCAGCTGCTAGGAGCAGCATCTTTTTCCTCTGTATTGACGTGTCCTCTGTATCCTCAATTAAGTACAATAGGTTGGGCAACACTGAGCTCCAAAACATGTTACCTGTTCTACAACTTTGACTTGAGGAAAAGCTATTCAGGTGGGCAGAACTTAAATGATGTAGCATGGACAAAACTCACTTGACATTAGATGATGTGTGCCAGAGGCATGAATCAGAGGCATTAAAAATTTAATTGCCACAGGTTTCAACGTTTGTCTCATGTGGTGTAAGCCTACTTTGTAAACTTGGGGGTTTGGCTTAGCTATTTCCTCTGAGTAATAAGATTTGCATGGAAAATATGCTGATCTTCCATGAAGGGCGTAAATGATGGTTCATAGCATTTCATCAGGGATGAGTGTTTTCCTCCTTCTCCCGGCACGGTGAGCAGTCTGAACAGCAGCATTGTAGTCTTTCGTGAGAGAGGCCTGGAGGAGATTTCTTAAAATGTGAATAACGTCTAACTGTAGAATTGCCTTTTTTGTGTCTTTCTTCTCTGTTAAGTTCTGGCCAGTGATGCTGTGTTCTGTCACTGTGATCTGATCACTGATTCTTACAGGACTTTGACTTAAGCCTCCCTTTTCAAAACTTTAGGTTTGAATTTTTTGAATCTTTGGAAGATGTCAAGAAAAGGACACTGGATGTTGCAGTGAAAAACAACAGGCCGTTCATTTCTCAGGAAAGGAAGGAGCTGGGAAAAGTAAGTGTAGAGAAGCTTCACTAGTGAGTTAGGAGAGCGGAGCAGTCTGAGCGATTCCTGCAGTCCTGAGAGGGGGTTCTAGTAACCAAGTGTCCACCATAGGACTAGCAATCTGGAAACAACTTCTGCCAGCTTTTCACGTGAAATCAGGCTCTAGCCATGTGGAAGCTTGTGTGGTTTCACGTGATTCGGGTGCCATGCTGCTTCATTTCAGAAAGGTGCTCCTGAAATAAAAACATTTCCTGTGATCCACTGCTGCCCGTTTGGGGAATGACTCCAACAGTGCAACCACAAGGTTGAGAAGGATGTGTGATTGAAACCCAGAATCTGCCAGTGGTGTTTTACGCTTTCTGTGAACAACTTTGATTCTGTGAGAAGTCAACTGGAATCCCTTTTGCAGTGACAGATGAATTTCCAAGTGTTGCTGCCAAGATCTGCCGGGCTGAGGCTGGCTAGTGCCTGTGGCCCCAGCCTGAGCCACAGCCCCAGAGCTTTGAAGTGGGTCAGACCTGGGAGGGGTGCTCAGCTTAGCTAATCAATTCCTACGCTGAATAACACACAGAGAAATAACATTTGCTTTTTAAAGGTGCGGATTGACTTGTCACAGGAGGACTTAATAAAAGGCTTTGCACAATGGTAAGTTTTCATCCCTGTGCTTCCAAACCCTGCCAGCTGCTTTGCTGGGACTTTATGTGACTGCTGTTGGAGGGCTGGTAAATGGGCTGTGGTGAGCAAGAAAAACATTTGACCTGCAAATGCAGGACTAACTTGAACTAATCTGGTAGTTTTATCTAAATTGTATGTTAATCCAGCTGCTAGTGCAGTACCTGCCCTGTGAAACAGTTTTAATAAGAGACCTATATGTCAATTACAGTCTTCAGCATATTTTAAGTTACCATAAAAGCCACTGGGACACACAAGTAAAAGAATTATGTTTATTAAAGTGACCTTGCAAGAAATTCTAACTTGGATAAAGACCTTAACTAAATTAATACTCTGGTCAGCAGTGTATGTATACGATAAAAATTTAATTACAAAGCATTTATCGAAACTATTATAAGCTACCTACTGTTTTCCTTGTACGTTCATCGTGTTTCAGAGTTAAGTCTTGAGCACTGGTCTGAAGGAGAGATTAAGAACCAGGATCTTTTTCTTTTCTACATCTGCAGTTAATGGCAGCAGTTCTTTCTTTCTCCTATAGTAGAGCCCAAGGAATGCAGCGTGGGTAGCCCAGGAGCTTGCTGGCCACACTTGCACTGAGCTGCCACTGGCCAGTGGGCTGGGCAAACCATGTTCCTGTGGTCCAGCTGGCGTCCGTCTCTCCCCCAAGGGCGTGGCATTTCTGGGAGTAGGTCAAAAATGACACTTCCAAAGCTCCTGGTAGAGAGCTGCAGGCCACCTCCAAAGCCTCTTTTGCCATGCTGCCTGAAGCACTAAAGCAACCCAAGTTCTTTCTGTTATGCCAGTTAAAACTTTAAAGAAAGTCTTAAACTACTCTAATTACTTACTGTGTCTGTCTTGCAGGTACGAGCTGACAAGGAGTAGGCGCAAGAAAAATTGATTTCTTCTCATGTACATAAGTTATTAATTTTTCAGCTTTATATGAATGTACATATCACTTTTGTCATGAATGTGTTTTGAACTGTCACTGCAAATTTGGAGCAGTCTCCAGTTCAGAGAGAAAATTTAATGATTCTACTCAGAGATTAGTTCTCACTGAACTAAAAAAAAATAAACAAGCAAACAAACCCACATTGGGAATAATTTGGCCCTAAATGATAAGCTCTTTATTTTTGCTGTTTCTGGCTTACCTCCCCAAAAGAACCCTTAAGTATGAATACTCTTTTAAGGAAGTGCTGTACCTGGAGAAATTTTAGACTGTCAGCTGTGTCTCTGTGTTGCTTGGCAGTCTTGCCTCCCCAGGATCCTGTTCATGTTGTTTTAACATTAAGGCATCGTGCTTTGAAAAGAGTACATTTTTAAATATCATTCTTCATCTGAAGGGCTACACAACCTGTTGAAAGAAACTGTTTAAGACTCTAATAGCAGCTGTTTTTTGAGACACTAAGAAATTGTTGTTCCACTGTTCAGAAGTGTCTCAGCAGCTGCAGTATGTATATAACGAGCGTCCAAAAGCAGGGAGATTATTTCACCAAGACATCATTAAGGTTTTAGTTTGTGACACCTTTAACATGTTTTGTTCTTTGTTACAGTACATTTCAAAACCTTGTAAACCTTTATGGCAAAGCTTTCTGCCTGAGGAACAGCAGTTTTGTAAAGTAAGCTTTATTAATATTGGAGCAAAATAGACCAAAATATTTTTGGAAGTTTGGTGTACTTGTTTCTGTACAATAAATTTCTAATTGTCTTGCATAAGAAACCTGATCTCTGCCTTTCTAAAACTGACTTTGAAAATATGACCATGGTAACTTCACATGCGTGCTAGGTGGAAACCCATCAGCCACCACTTGAAGTAAGTTTCAAGTATTTTATTTGGCCTAGATGAAATTAATCTAGTCTGCCTTGGTCCCTAACCAGGAGGCATACTTGCTGAATAACAATTTGTTCACATGCCAAACTGATCTGAAAATGTAAACAACATTTCAGATAGGCAAATGATGATTCTGCTTACTGTGGCAGCAACATTCCAGATGCTTGGTGCCCACAGTATGCCTGGCTGGGTTCAGTGTCCCAGGCTGATGGAGAGTATAGCAGTTCACTCTCTGGGGACCATTTGATAGCAATTACAGTAAGTTTTTCTTAAATTGACCATGAAACAAGAATTAAGGAAAATGAAAAAACACAACAGATTTTATTTAGATAAAAAATTCTGAAACTCTTAAGATAACAGAGGCTAGAGGTAGCTGTAATATCATGTGCATCCACAGGTATGTTCACAGGTAAGATAGGTCTTCCTAGAGGAGACCAGGCTAACTCTTAGCTGGCTACCAATTTCAAATTTCGCACAGTAGGCAAAATATCATCCAGGTTACTGATCCCTGAAACAGAATGAAAAGCAAAAACAGTAAGGTTTATGTACCTAGAACATCTTTAAGCTCAGCCAAAATTCCAGCTTTAAACTTTAAAATTACAGCTAGTGAATAAAAGAACCCTTCACACATTTTAATAAATTTGAAAAAAAGTCAATTTAGCTTATAAGGAATATGATTCCATACAGGCAACCCCATGTTCAATTAAAAAGCACTTTAGTCACTTCCTGAGGAAAGACAGAAGGAAGGAGAGTGAGGTAGAAATTGGCACCTTTCCTCACATCCTCTTTGTGTTTCAGCACACCAGGAGTAAACAAAACATGTGTTGGCTATTTAAAGTTTCAGGAAGAAGTGTTGGCATGAAGGTAATTACAACTGCTCCAGATATTACTCACCTAGAAGACGGAGCAGATCTTGAATGAGAGCTTGAAATGGTGGAAAGAAGCACTCGTGTTCTTCTAGCTTACTGATGATACTGAAATGGGCAAGTGAGACTGTCAGGTAAAAAGTGCAAGGGCCTGTTAAGTTCATTCTCTCAGCTGTTCTGCTGTACTGCCTCATGACTTTCTGAAAACACTGCTACTTGGTATATAAAACCAGCTACACCAGAAATATCTTCAAGTTCTGAAACCTGCAGCCAGTAAGTGTTAGCTGTCAAAAGAGGATCTCTTATTTATGCTCTGTATAACATCCTTCCTTTCCTCCTTGCATGGCACCAGGTAATTTTTGGACTGGAACATCAGCCTATATATGGTAAATATCCTGCTGGGGGATGGCTGATACAACTGCCCTAGAGGTGGGCCTAAGGAGTATTTTCTAAGCAGCCTTTCTCTAGTTAAAACTGAGGAGTGCAGAAAGGTTTAAAGAGTTAATACTGTTAACTTGGCCTGTGTCAGACTTGCTGCCTGCTGCAGTTTTTGTGTTGGCAGAGCACATGCTGAGTGTGAGCCCCTGTAGTCTGCTACCAAGTACACGTATGCTATCAAGATTTGCCCAGTTCCCAAAATATTTATAGACAGCTTGACGTATACGTTCTCTTAGCAACCAATACACTTCAATATTACAGCCAAAACCTTGCAACACTTTCTCCTCCCCACCCATGTGCAGTATTTGCTTTGTCTCCTTAGGAGACACGCATCCAGTTAAGGCTCACTTGATCTGATCCCCTTATCTGTGCAAACCAACAAGGCGTTTTGGAACCTTCTCTTTGCCAGCTTTACCCTTTGGAAAGTATTCAAGGTTTGCTTCATGTAGGGCAGTGTTAACTCCTTTGCAGTAGAGCTGACCAACTTTGTAACAAATGATTAAAGTTTCTTTCAGTATCTATTTTAGCTAGTTCTCTCAATTACTGCATTTGATGTTTGAAGAAGGGCTGCCAATAGGACAGCCCCACATACCTGTGGATGTCTTGGGTCCCCAGAAGCTGCTGTACCTGATTGGTGATGTTCTCGTTAATTATGTCACACAGTTTCCCAACAGTATCCACTACCACAGTGGGCGGAGCTGAACTGTCTGTGAAAAAACAAATGCTTGATGTTTCTTGTAACAGTAGTAACAGGCAAGTGTTTTAGATACAATCCAATTCTTGTAGCTGCCCACATTTTATGCAGTTTTCAAACATCTAAGCAGACAAGTTCCAGCTCTCAAAGCACCTATGGTCGAGTATCAACTAATGTTAGCTAGAAACAGTGAATCTCTCACTAAGTCTTTAGCAGCTACAAAACCTTGTCAGAGCTGTGTGTTTATGCAGCAGAGGTGGTGCACCCTATGGTATCACTGGAAATCAGCTAACTGAAATGATAGAGAGAGGGTTTTTCATTAGGTTCCTGTAACACGGCAGAAGCTAGGCCAACAAGGAACCTCCTCTATAAATACCTCATTAACGGCCAGAACTTCTTTTGTTAATTGGATTTTACCTGCTTTGACTGCTGTGACTGAAAGTAAGAGGCTCCTTGTCCTATTCTCCCTCCATTTCAGAAGAACCAGGCTCAGAGAAGGCATCCTCAGAGACCCAGTGGTTTGCAGTTAAGGAGCCATGAGGCTTCCTCATCTGCTGCTCTGACTGCAGGCAGGAAAGACTGCTTCCCTCTGAGAACAAGGCACATGAGACCTTAGCAGCCAGGAGCCCTGCTCCAGGGCTGTACGCCCTACAGTGCAGCCAAACCTTTAAACCCATGAGCAGCAGCTGCTGCTCTTCTCCAGAAGTACAAACCAGCAGAGAAGGGGTACTGGGAAGTAAGAAGTATCCCTCTGACTGCTCGCACTTAGTCTTTGACATGCAACAACAACTTATTTTGTAAAAGTTTGGCAGTGGAAGATGGAAGTTTCTGAGGACTGGACATAATTACACTTGAACAAATTACTAAGTAGAAATCTGCAGCACAGATCGAGTTATTTTTTTCCTTAGACTTATTATCTTTGAAGTAGAGAATGAAAGATGGTTAAAAATCACCAAGTCAGCTCAGAAGAAACAAAGCTTTATGGGAAAAAAATAATTAAAAATGTCACGTCCTCTATTACTCCTTTTTTCTGCCTCCCTTGTATTCCTCAGCAACTTACAAATAACGAGTGTTTGTTATTTCAGCTGCCAGTTGACAGCAGCCTACTTTTATCTTCCCAGTGAAGAATATACCCAGCTTACTCATTTCTCAGCAGCTCAACATATTTTCTATGAAGAAATGAGCCTTTCACTTGTCCTCTTCCCCCTCTGGAAATGGTCTGAACCAATGCCAGGTGTCCAGTCTTTACCTAGTTCCAGGAGCTCGTGGAGATTTCTCATAGCATTGGTCATCTCCCCAAGCTTTGTGTAAACCTCATTCATGCGTGGATAAACGCCGTGCAGTGAACTCACATCAAACAGCTTCTGGAAGTGAGAGACTATTGCAGACAGGGTTGGTTGGGATGGTGCCTGGCTGTTCTGGAGCAAGCAGGAAGAGTAACTTGTCAATGTTACTGCTTAACAAAGCAAGGATTCTTTTAAACCATGCAATCTTTCTTACTCTTGTGCATTCTTAAAACTAGTCTATGAAAAGAAATGGGTGTGATTTCCCTTATTTAATAACAACATTTAAAATACATCTTCAGATTTAAGAATATTTGAAAGAGTTTTCAGACACAAATGTCCAGTAAACCAAAAATACTCAAAAAGTTTTGTCGCTTCATAAGCACGTTTGTGTTTTCTGGATGCTGACAGAGAAACAGAAGAAATGGGATAATATCTGAGACTAGAGGGCAATGCAAATTCATCGTTGGTCAAATGACTTTGATTAAAGCAGCCTTCCCCAAGGTGAATTTATCCATTATGTTAAAGTAGTCTTTGATTACTGAATATCTTCAAACAGCTGTTTCTTAAACGTCACAAGGCTTTGAAATATGCAAATCTAATCACTGTGTGAAGAATCCATCTAAGAGTTCCACAGTAACTTGTGATTATAAACCCTGATAAAAATTACCTTTTCCTTATTTTCTATTTCTTCCAAAATTGCATCTACTATGAACTGCAGGTCTTCAACTCGTATGGACTCCCTGTTATCCTGTGGATCTGCACTGTGCCAAGGCACCAATTCCAGAGACAGTTTTCTCAAGGATCTATGCAAATCCTTTTAAAAGAAGGGAGGGGACACAACTTATTTCAGTAACTGCTTAAAATTTGGTTTATTATCTAAATAGGCAGATCTTCTGTTTCTCATATGCAAAATCTTTCCAGTACTAGAGACAGTAAGGTTTTAGTTTTCATGGAATTTAAGCAGAGTATCTTGCTTACATTCTTTGATTTAAAAACAACACTTACAGTCTAAAAATTGAAGTACTTCACATATTATAGTTTCAGTGACATAAGAAGTGCTGGTCACAGTTTTGGACAAAATTACCAAAAAGTCACTGTTCTGGCAAGACAAAAAGGCAGAAAGAGAATGCACTGTCATTTGTGTATGAGGTATGTAGCCTCTAAAGCTTAAGCATCTTCCTAGGGACTCAGCCAGTGAACAAAAGCATTCAGATGATGTACACAGAGGAGTACCTCTGCCCTGTAGTTACACTGTTTTTCACTTTACTATGGTTTTAAAGTGGTATATAAATGGATAGCAGAATTCTATTTAAAATTTAACACCAAGTCAGGCAAAACTAAAAGCTACACGCAGGAAAAAAAACCAACAAAACAACCTAGACATAGGGAGAGCTGAGGGGTGGTCAGATTAAAGGAGGACTATAAAGCCAAGCACAATAAAGCTTTACCTTTAGGGCCATCAGCTGATCTGCCCACATTTCTACAGTAAGTGGAAGGTGCTCAAATCCACACTGCTGTCCATTCTCTTTAGCATTATTTTGTCCTTGCCCTTTACTGCGCCTGTATATTAACGGAGGAGCTCTTGGACTTCGCAAAACAGCGTCAATATGGGACAAAACCTTCAACACAGAACAACAGGGTATTGCTCAAATATGGATGACATTTTGTAATAAAGATTCCTCTCCACCACAGTCACAACTGGCTAAACATCCAATAGTTCAAATAAGTTACTATCGATAAATTTTACAGATGCATTCAATGTATAGTAGATTCAAAGATTTTAAAATATACTAGCTAGAAGGTAAGTAAAAGTAATGCAAATAACTTCCCTTTGAGGGATATTTAACATTTATCCACTGGAGGCATTGTTACTTTCACAGTTTACATTTTGCTAAGTTTTATTGTATTTGCTTTTCTTTTTGTTCAAAGAAAAATAAAAGCCACTATCTCCTCAGGTATGCTTAAAACCCTAACATAAGGGGCTGTTTTGCCCAAGACCTTGAACAAATCCCCTGTCCTGAAAAAGTCTTCAGCTCAATCACTGATTTGATGTTTGCCAACAGTGCCTCTGCTTCCTTGCTGTATTTTCAGGTAGTTTACACTAAGATAGAACAAGCCTACAGCAACTGCCAAACCCAGAACATCACACATCTCATGTAGGGGACTTCAAATGAACTCTCAGATTCAAAAGAGCATACTTCAGTTTACATAGTTGGACAGAAATTTCCCATGTCATTTTAACAGTGCTAGATACACACAGTACAGATAAAATTTGCATACCTGTAGGTACTGCTGGCAGACTGCCTGCAGCTGATCTGCTCCTGAGTTACTCTTGGGTTCTTGCTTTTCTTCTGTTCTTTCTCCAGTACTACTCTCCGAAGATCTACATGCCAAAAACACACGGTGGGTTACACATCTCCTGCCTTAGCAGGAAATACTACCTTCAGCTTGATCAAAGAACCAGGTATGGAGCACATACACTTAGCCCTACAAAAGTAAAAGCTCTATTTCATTATGCCTGCCAATAGAATTCCATCAAACTGAACTACCTGAAGAATCTAATACTCAGTGCAAGTCACATTAAGTTACCTCAGGTCTCAAGGTTAAGGTTATTCCAGACTGCACACTAATTTAGAAGGGACTCCACCAGATACACAGTCGTTCTGTTTCCAAATGTCCTACTATGGCTGAAGATTTAAAGCCCAGAATTTTACTCACACAGGTCAAATTCCATGCTCTCAGTCTTTATCTGCTTCTCCTTGAACATCGTTTCTGGATTACTGTATACAGCTAGCTACACTTCTTGTAGAATCTAAGATGACTTTCTCTAAAAGTACCATCTAAATCATACCCACTGCATGAGAGAAAGACCATTTAAATATACACAATGTACACTGAAGAACATTGAAAAAGTTCAAGTGATGTCTTTTTCAGGCTATGAAATACTTAGCATTCAGCATACACATGCAGAAATGATTAAGTGAAATTACAGATAAAACCACTTTGTCAGTACTGGATCTCTAACACCTTCAGTGTATTTTCTCAGCAATGTTTCAGGAAAAAAAATAAGTCAATTTCTAAGAATAATACAGATTTAACTGCTGTAGCTGCAACATTTTGCCAACTCATACTTTCTCATTCATCACCCATAATGTCACCAGTGGCTTGCTTTGTGGCTCGTAGAAGCAGCGAACGCCACACACTTTGGTTCTGTCCATATTGCTTGTGGTATCCCTCAAATAAAATCCAGAAAAGCAAAATGAAAACAAAAAGACACACTGCTGTGCCCCCATTTGGAGACCATGCCATCACATCAGAGATGGACAGGGCATCTTTGGAGATAGAGTAGCATTTGCTGCCCAGAACCAGGCTCTGAGGAACCATGGTAAGGTATGTGCTTTATAAGCTACTGTCTACATTATAGGTTGCAGGGTATCTTTCCATTATGGAGTTCAGAGGTTTCATCAGTTATTGAATATACTTACTGGATAGTTTTCTTTAAAGTTTTCTTCAGTTTCTTCACTTGATGCTTGTACAGTTTTAATTGCTGTGAAGTTGGTCTGCAAAAAAGGAAAAGTACTATATCACACGTCTTGTATTTGAAGGTATGCCTGAAACTCAGCCAAGCAAAAACATTCAGAAAGCTTTGCCAGTGCCACAACATGATTCTGGAAATGAAATTCTGCAACATTTCTACATGGCAACAGCAATAAACAGAAAACTAATCATGAGCATTTCTTGCTCCTAACAGTGTAGGGAGGGAAGGTCGCTGCCATACCTTATTCCTATGTATCATTTTTAAAGGCAGATTCCCTACAACACTTTGACATTGCTGGTGTGTTCAGTTTCTTTGTAAAGCAAAGCTTACTGAAGTGCCCTTGCAAAGGACAATACTTATCCCTTACTCACCTTATTTCCAAATCTTTCTTAAGATTTATATTCTCAAGCAAAAGCTGTTCATTCCTGGCTTTGGTTTCAATTAGTTGTTTCTGGAAAGACTGCAACATAAGACTGTGTTATTTCTTTTATTTCACCCATTCCACAATCAACAAGCTTGAACAATTTAAAGTATGTACATGTTAAGAAGAGTTCCTATCTGCCTATATGGCAAGACAGCACAGGTGAGAAAACAGTCAACAAAGATCAAGAGGCTGCTGCATGAGACCACCAGTGGAGCACCTGTGATTAAGGAGGTCTGTGCAGTCCCCAGCAAAGATAACTCACAACATGAATCTCTGCACAAACAGTGAACTCTGCCCAGAGGTTACAAGCTAGGAAGATGTAAGAACAAGGGGACAGAAATCAAACACATGTATGTTTGGATGTGGTTCTTGAAGGGTTACCATTTAGAGATCTGCACTGACATTCTTAGCAGCTGCATACCGTGAGCAGTGCTCTATAGTTCGGAGTAGCATCTAGATTTAAGAACTCTTCCTTGCTTTTTGCTTCTCTCTGTACCTGGTCTTCATCTTTTTTGTACTGCCTATCAGGAAAAATAAATTGTTATATATAATAATGTTTCCATAAGCTGCAAAGTAAACAGAAATTCTGTCCCGAGATCCACTGCTCTGTTACTTCTGGGAAGCTGTTTCTTTTACCAATTAAATGCACTTATTCCCATAGAGAAATTCCAGTACAGGCAAATCCCCTTTCAGTTTTCAAGATAATAATCTCAAATTGTAGGAACATCTCAGGTATCTGCTTGTTGCTTTGTACCATGTAGGCACCACGACAGAGCTCAAAAGCTGGTACTCCTTTTGTTGAGGGGGGGATCAGTTGACTGTGCACAGCTAATGCAGTAATTCTGCCTATGAACCATAGGAAAAGAAGGAAAGGGGAAAGAAAAAAAAAGAAAGAAGAATTACAGCTCAAGTGTCTAAATGCCCGTAGCTTCCAATACCCTGGTCTCCTGACTGAGCAGCTGCTTAGACTGACTGACAGTTATTCCCCACATGAATCCAAACTTCCATGACCATTACAATCCTTTGCTGTTTCTTACATGCTGGTGACATTTGGAATACTGAATATTTACCATGATAACATTTAAGAACAGTAAGGAGTAAGAAAATGTTGAACAGTAGACCCATAAAGCATTAGATGAGACCTACCTTAGCTCCTTTTTCATTTGACTAATTTGAGATTCATAATAATCAATTAGACAAAGGAACCTGAAGAAAGGAAAAACAGTACTTTGAATTTCAGAGACTCTCAAACAAATCACGGCTGAAAGATCCCAGGACCAACCCACCTAACAGGCCAGCTCACACAACTGCACTGCACCTCACAAACGACTGCTGCACATAGTGGGGCTTCTCTCATACCAAACAAACGTGGTCACAGTTGTCCAAAGCAGAAAAGTAGAGACATTCCCTCTCTACTAGTCTAGAAGTTGCAAAAACATTAAAGAAGAGAAAAAATCTAAATCCTCCTGACAGTCTCCTCATCTTGGGACTGTTCACCCAGCAAGCCTCCCAGCGAGGCACATGAGTTCTGGGGCTCAGGGAACACTGCAGGTGGTCAAGTGCACCCAGATGTAGCCCAAGAACACCTGTCTCCAAAGACACTGAAGTGCTTTCAAAGCGCATGCTTGCAAAAAAAAACAGCCACAAAAAACCTGAACAGCTAATAAACTGCCCTGCCTCTTGAGCTCTCAGAGACTGTGTGTTTCAGAGAGACAGAAGAGAAAGCACAGGGAACCAAATGCAGTGACCCTTCCTCTCACACAGTGAGGGCACAAGAAGGGCTGTGCACACACCAGCCCTTTTCATCGTTTCTCAGGTAACCATCACTAGCCAGGCCTAGAAACCAGGCTTGGAACATTTGCAGAACTTCCTACAGGAAGCCTGCAGTCCAAAGTTGCAAACACCGCTTTCCAAAAGGGGAACATTTTTTTAGCCAGGTGAGGTTGCAGGATGGTGTTTGTCGGAGTTTCTTTCTTTGGTTGGTCCTATTTTTAATTTACATTCTAAAATGTTAAAATCCCAGGATGAGAGATCACCCTGGCAGATATTGCAGTTCCAGAGTGAAGTGTCATTCCCTTCTCTTTGCTGACACCTAGTGTAGATAGTAGCTAGTATTTTTTTTTTTTTTTTTATTTCTGCCATGGATTTATCCAGCTCACATTTTTTTATACAAGAAAAAACTATTTCAGTCATGCACCTTTACAATAATTCATATTTCAGCTTGTACTCCTAAGGTCTTCTGCTATTTTTTTTTCATATAAATATTGAGAACAGTTACATTAAATGAAGAAACAATTTTAAAGTAGCAGTCATTCACAATAAGAATGTTGCTTACTGCTGGTCTAGAAGAGACTTGGGAGCTCTTTTGCAAAATCGACAAATCAGTTTGGTTTGAGTGGCAACATGCTGCTGCTCCTCCATCCCAACTTTGCACAGCTCCTTCTGCAAATGGGCAATCATCTCCTCCTGTTCCTGTAGCTTCTCCTGCTGCTGTTGATACTTTGCCTGTGAACAGATAATGGGAGCATTATGAAATTATTCTAACCCACAAGCTGAAGACCGTACTGTACGTGCCCAGGTAGGCACTTGGTTCCAAGGGGCCTTATTACTGGGGGTTTAGCCATACTTGAAGAGGCAGTGGAAGAAGGATACAGATATTTTTCTAAGTTATTGCCAAAAAATCCTAAACAGATTGCAAAATCTTAGCTATAAACAGTGTATTAACTCTATGACCCAAGACTTGTGTTTATTTTCACTGTAAATATTTTTACAGCTTTTAAAAGAAGCCAGAGGTTTAAATCCTCAGATAGCACTATCTGAATTAACTGTGAAACCTGTTGATCTTTCTGAAGTTCTTTGACTTGATTCTGTTGCTGGCAAACTTTAGCTATTGTCTCATCTTCCAGCTGACAAATTTTGGACTTAATGTTTTTCACCACATTTTCCAAATCATTAGCCCGTTGTTCTTGTCGAGATGCCCGACCTCGTTCCTGTCGTATCTCATCTCTGAAAAAAGAAAATCAAACCTTGGTTTAAATTAAACTCATTTCACAAAAGACAGTGAAGGAAGCATAAGCCTGACAACATTATCTGATGACACTCAATAACAGCCTGTGGCAGTAAGTACAGGAAATATGCTGATATGGGAAAAAGCAGCAGATGAAATAACTCAAGAGCTCAAAAAGAACTAGGCCAACATTGCTGCATATTGGAGAATAATCTCAGGAAAAAAGGTCTTACACCTTAGGTGTGACAAGACCGCCACAGGGCAGGAGGTGGACACTGGTAATACTTTTGCTTTGCTTTAGCAGTTAAGTTCCTTCCACCGTGTCTTACCTAAGCGAACGATTCGCCTCCATAAGCTCCTGCATAATTTTCTGCTGTCGGTCGGTGTCTTCCACCAGTGTTTTTAGTGCAAGCCTTATTCCTAGAGAAGACTGACTGTCCAAGACAATTGTATCTGGAGATATATAAAATAAGCAAAGTCATAACAAAAGACTCTTAGTAGCTGAAGATTGCATCTCTGCTACCATTTGGAAATGACAGCTTTACAGATGCATATGAACTTAGGCTTAATTAATTCCAAATACATAAAACTTGTAAAATAAGCATTCCCTTACCTGATGTATTTCTGCAGCTTTGGGGGGCAACAAGACTCACTGGTTTCAACCCATGACGCATTAACAGCTTGTTTAAGTTCTCCCATTCTGCCCTCTCCTTCTGCAGCTGGGAGAAGGGGAAGAAGAGAGAGAAGCCTGAGTCCTTGAGATCAGTTTATGGTCTCCTGTCCTTCTCGCTGCACAGGCAGTAGAAGATACCAAATGTCCCCAGAGAAAACCAAACCCCCAAGAAGCCCCAGCCACTATAGGAAGGATTGTGAGACTTCCCAAAAGGATCTGAAAAAATACTGTGGGAAAGTGTACTTAATAATCAGAATACTGTTTCCCTGATCACAATTAGTGGGAGAAATACGTGCAATGAGTAAAATTAATCTTTTTTAAGAACCCAGACGACTGGCCCTTGGGTACATCCAAGTGCACCAGGGCACAGTGGGCCTCGACCCCCAGCCCCAGGAGGAGCCCTCAGAGCACGCAGGTGCCTGTTCTAGGGGGGCTGTCGTTTATTTGTTTTCTTTTTGTTCTGTTTTAACTACCAAGCAGTAACAACAGCCACCTCGGGTCCACCACGGTACCTCTGTCATGGCGAGGGACGCCCGCTTTCCGATTGCCGGCGAAAGGGACCGGGCGCCGCGCCGCCTCCCGCAGGCGGCCACGAGGCCACAGGAGAGGAAAAGGGTCGGTTACCAGTACGCGCAGCCTCTGCAGGTGTCG